TGAACAAATGCCTTTGTAATATTTATTTAAGAAGTCATAAATTCAAATATGTGCTCATAAAACACTCCCGAGAGACATTCATAAAAATTAAGGTTTATCAACAGAGTGAGCAAATACATATGAATCATTTCTTTTTAAAAAAATAAGCAGGCAAGGTATAAGAAAAAAATCTTCAAGGCGATATCTTTTTTTTTTTTTCTTTTTTTTTTTTTTTTTGAGACGGAGTTTCGCTCTTGTTACCCAGGCTGGAGTGCAATGGCGCGATCTCGGCTCACCGCAACCTCCGCCTCCCGGGTTCTGGCAATTCTCCTGCCTCAGCCTCCTGAGTAGCTGGGATTACAGGCACGCGCCACCATGCCCAGCTAATTTTTTTGTATTTTTAGTAGAAACGGGGTTTCACCATGTTGACCAGGATGGTCTCGATCTCTCGACCTCGTGATCCACCCGCCTCGGCCTCCCAAAGTGCTGGGATTACAGGCTTGAGCCACCGCGCCCGGCCTTCAAAGCGATATCTTAATTGGAAAAACATGTTAGTTTAAAACAAATGCTGAATGAAATTTCTGATAAATTTCCTTTAATAAGCAGCCTGTCAAGTAACAGGCAAAGATTTTCAACAACCTAGCTGAGCAATGATTTCCCTAACAGTTACAATAAAACCCTCTAAACCACTTTTGATTCTCTTCTACATACATAGGAAAATGTTCCCAGCTCTAAAAGAAACAGAAACAAACAAATGTTAAAAAACAAAAATGAAAGATTGCAACACTGTGAAAATAAAAGATAATGATGCTTCCGTGCCATATTTATTCATCCCTGCCATAACTAATCAATTGTTTCAAGTTATACAATACTTTCTAAGAAAGATAACATATAGCATGTTTCTTAAACTATCACTGAATACTACTGAACCACTAATCATTTTATCATTTTATGACCCAAGTCTGGTACTTGCTACAGTTTCATGTTTGGAATCAAGACTAGCCCTGAGAAAAAATTATGAGAAATAATAGCCCACAGGAAAATGATAGAGAAGAAAAGGATGAAAATGACTTAAACAAGTTAAGAAAATAAGCTCATGTCTGGCTTTTGAACTTGCCCCAATAATAACCTTGTGTTTCTCGAGGGTCATTTAATTTGTAAATCACTTCCTTTTGCTCATATTGGCTTATAAAGTAGATGGAGCATGTGTCGTCTCATTTAAGCATGAAGCATCACTTCCTTTTGCTCATATTGGCCTATGAAGTAGATAGAGTATGTGCTGTCTCAGACAAGAAAATGGAAAAACAGAGAAGGGACAGCTTCCCCAGGACCAGAATCAATAAAGTACAGCCTGTGTATTAAATCTGTTCAGGGACTCTGGATTTTTTGCATGGTCCATGAGTTAAGAATAGTTCTTACTATTCTCAACTGCATTCTTAACTTACTTTTTTTTTTTTTTTTTTTTTTTTTTTTTTGAGATGGAGTTTTGCTCTTGTTACCCAGGCTGGAATGCAATGGTACGATCTCACTGCAACCTCCGCCTCCTGGGTTCAGGCAGTTCTCCTGCCTCAGCCTCCTGAGTAGCTGGGATTACAGGCACGTGCCACCATGCCCAGCTAATTTTTTGTATTTTTAGTAGAGACGGGGTTTCACCATGTTGACCAGGAAGGTCTCGATCTCCTGATCCTGTGATCCACCCACCTCGGCCTCCCAAAGTGCTGCGATTACAGGTTTGAGCCACCGCGCCCGGCCCTTTAACTTACTATTCTTAATATGCATTCCATACGTAGAGTTTATAACTGAGCCACACTTACTCATTTACTTATTAGATATGTCTATGTCTATGCACTGCAACACTGGAACGGGGTAATTGCGACAGAGATCATAGAGACCTCAAATATTGACTCCCTGGCCCTTTAAAGAAAAGCTTGCAGACCCCCTGTTCTAGACCCACAGTGGAGCGATGAGCAAAGCCCAGTGTTCTTTCCATTCCACCGTCTGCCTCTCCTTACCCCATTTCAGCATTCGATTCATCCCAGGTGTCTGTTTGAGAAACGTTATGAAACAGGAATTGAGATACTTGAGCCAGACACGGCAAGTGAGGAGATGGGGGATACAATGGACTTGTAACCTCGTTTCACAATCATGAATGGAGAAGAATCTCACCCATACCTAATTTAGACAATGATATTTGGGGCTTTTTCTTTTTTTTGAAACAGAGTCTCACTCCGTCCCCAGGCTGGAGTGCAGAGGCACCATCTCAGCTCACTGCAACCTCTGCTTCTCAGGCTCAATGGATCCTCCTACCTCCGCCTCCCAAGTAGCTGGGATTACAAGCATGTACCACTTACCCAGCTAATTTTTGTATTTTTTGTAGAGATAGATTTTACTGTGTTGCCCAGGCTGATCTCAAACTCCTGGGCTCAAGTGATGGCCACCCGCCTCGGCCTCCCAAAGTGCTGGAATTATAGCCACAACCTACTGTGCCCAGTCTGATTTGGGACTTTGGGTTGATATTTGGGTTTGAATTGGATCTTAGATTAGATGCTGGAATGGGTTGACTTTTATGGATGCTGGGATGGAGTGGATGTACGTTGCACATGTGATGGATGTCAATCTTGGGGAGCCAGAGGGCAGACTATACTGGGTTGAATAGTGTTCCCCCAAAGCTCATGCTGACCCAAAACTTCAGAGTGTAACCTTATTTGCAAAGAGGGTCTCTGTAGATGCAAGCAAGTTAAGATGAGGTCATACTGGATTAGGGTGATCCCTAATCAGGTGACTAGCGTCCTTCTAAGAAGAGGGAAATTTGGACACAGACCCAGAGAGGACAGTGCCGTGGGCACACAGACACAGGGCAGAATGCTGGGTAAAGGCAGAGGCAGAGGCTGAGGCTGGAGCCAATGACAGCAAGGATTTCCAGCCACCACCAGAAGCTGGGGAAGAAGGCAGCAACAGATTCTCCCAGAGCCTCCAGTTGGAATCAATCAACCTTGGTTCTGGCCCTTTAGTGTGCAGAACTGTGAAAACAATACATTTCTGTCTTAAGCCATCCAATCTTAAGTACTCTGTTATAACAGCCCTAGGAAACTAATGCAGATGGCCTTGACGAAAGAATTAAGGTCAAGAGAAAAGGAGACAGTGGTGGATGTTCGATCACATGAAACCATTTTGTTTAAAATATAAACTGAATACATCTAGAAGATCATGAGGAAAAACAACACAAAAGCAAAAACCCAGAGGCCCTGATAACTACGCTGATTAGGTTTTACAACGCTGCTGCCAAGGTAAGCAGAAGTGGCTTCCACGGGAAACTTTTCTCCCCAGTGGGTCTACTTACAAACCCACCCTTGAATTCCAAGCTTCGCCCAGTCACCTCACCATGACTGGTACACAAAACGAATTTTACAACAGGGGAAAACAGATGAGCTGAAATCTCATCTGTTTTCACCCTAAGGACATTCCTGCCACGCCTCTTCTCTGAAATAATCTTAAATCTCCACAGAAAGCCTAATTTTTAGAGTACGTTGGAAAGGGTACATTTTCGGAAAGATACAGCAATGTATAAAAAAATCACCTGTCACTTCTAGAATCTCCCAGTGGCTCAGTGTGCACCTCTCATCTTACTTCACACCAGACATACTGTAGGCCAAGCTTGTCCAACCCACGGTCCGAGGGCTACATGTAGCCCAGGACAGTTCTGAATGTAGCCCAACACAAATTTGTAAACGTTCTTAAAACAAAATGAGATTTTGGGGGGATTTTTTTTTAAGTTCATCAGCTATTGTGAGCGTTAGTGTGTTTTACATGTGGCTCAAAACAATTCTTCTTCCAGTGTGGCCCAGGAAAGTCAAAAGATTGGACACCCTTGCTGTAGGCTAATTCACCCCACACAATTTTTAGCGTAACTGTTTCAGGGTGAAAGTGTAGGCAAGACGTGTTCCCTTATTCCTTCAGGAGTGCAAGGAAATGATGGGAAACGCATGAGGTTGTAGAGATGAGGTACAGCTAAGTCTAACATGTGGTGCCTACTGTGTTTTCCTGTGTATCCAGTCAAAATTTAAATTGATTTCTTCAAAGCTATTTTTAAAAAATCACATATATATATGAGTATAGATGCCACAAGTTCATAATAAAGTTGTCCTTAGGGGTCCATGTTAAAGCCTATGCAATTCTGGCATTTTATTAGCTAAATTCCTTATTAACAGATTCATGAGAGACCCATCTGACACAAAATTTTTCTCTTTATCATCATATCATGTTGTAATTTGGTATCAATTATTTTAGACAAACTCTTATTTTTAATCTACTTTCTTAATAAACTCAGGCATAATATTATTCTCCTCTAGATTTGCATTCCAATATACCATATACAATTTTATTTTCCTCCTCCTCTCTCCTTCCTGCTTCATTATTTGCCTCTGGTTTTCAGCAGATTTGTATTTTAAATAACCAGTGGTGAGGGAAAGCAAATGGCAGCTTGACACCAGCACTTTGTGGGAGCACATTGCTGGCTGGGCCATTAGCCTCATGCCCATGAGCCATCACTTAGTTCCCAAGAAGGGCGAAACTCCCAACATAAACAAACAAAACCCACGTATTTCTCTGAGCAGTCTGCAGCACATTCGTGAAAAAATTTCCTGAGACCGGGAATTCTTGAAATGCTGGCCATTGTAAACCCAATGTCCCCACCGCGCCAATGAAGAAATTCACTGGATCTCTTAGTGGAAAGAGAAAATGTGTGTCTTCCTTTCCTCAGTGCCAGAAATAAGCAACCAAATAACAGCCCAAACTTTGGAATCCCTGCACGCTGGGTAGCCTAATGCTACCACCATGAGAGAATCCCTGCAGAAAGAAGACCGGAGGCCAACTAAATTCCTCAGACTCCTCTCAGTGATCTCCACCCCAGGGATCAAGAGTTTCTTTTGGCATCTGACCAAAGCATGCAGGGAATCTTTGTGCTAACCAGAGTGGGCAGGCACACGTTCACAGATAGGGCAAGCAACCCCTAAGCACGTTACCTTATTCTGCTCACACACATATTGTATCCTTAGTGCGTCCATTGCTCTGATCATGGATTGCATGGCGGTGAATATGTTTTGGTAGACCAGCTTCGTGAACCCCTTTCTGTCTTCATCGCTGTAACCAGAGCCATGGATAATTCTCATCTGTTTGATAAAGGTGCTTTTCCCACTTTCACCAGTTCCTGTGAGACAAAACAAGTAGAAAACGCTGTCAGCAGACTTCCGAAGGAACACACGGAGAAACAGAGGACCTCCTGGCATTATTAGTCCATCCCAATTGACAGGTTGATGGGATGGATTTGGAAGGGACTGGCAAACACGCAGTTTTAGGCTACAGAGCAGTGCCAGCCCAAGCCGCAGACGAGTGCCATCTTCGGTCCAGGAAAATGCTTCCTTACAGCCTCGCCCTAAGTCCTTGAGAGAATAGGCAACTGTGTCTGAAAGACCTGAGCATTTGAAGGCTTTGTCACTGTGAAGATAGCAGTGGTGGTGATAGGGCTGCTTCAGAGGGCAGGGTGGATTTGAGCCACAGGAACACACGGAGGAGAGAAAAAGGCTCATTAATCAGTGATTCCTTCCTTTCAGATACATGAATATTCTTCGTCTTTGCACAAGAAAGCACCATTTCCCAGCGGTGCCAAGTGTCTACGTGCTCACGTCTTTTCAAGTCTCAACATGCAGTTCAGGAGATCCTCAAAACCCACGACACGCACACGGCAGCCAAGGAACGCTTTACAATATTAAGCCGTTCCTACTGTTCTTAAATGTATATTGATGTCCAGATAGAACATAAGTGAAATATGACATCAAAACTCTACATTCATATTAGATTGAGATTTTGCTTGAAAAGCCAGTAAAAGCTGCAGTGTGACCGAAATTTAGACAATAAAATTAAAATATTTGCTAATATTTTCTTTGATAAAGATAATTTATCATATGACATCCCATTACTGTGTTTGGAAGATGATGGGTCCTATTCATGGTTCATTTCCAAATCTAAGAATTGCTTTAAGAATTGTATTAATAGTTCAGGTTGATATGCCCCTATCAGGGCAACATTTCAATTGAAATAAAACTCTCTTCAAATTGAATGAATGAGAAATGACAACAGAACAAAATCAGCTCAAGAAAAGTTATACACTTTAAACAGATGCATCATATAGTATGTGAATTATGTCTATAAAGGTGTTACACAAAAGAAATAGTTGGCCAGTCATGGTGGCTCATGCCTGTAATCCCAGCACTTTGGGAGGCCAAGGCAAGTGGACCACTCGAGGTCAGGAGTTCAAGATCAGCCTGGCCAACATGGTGAAATCCCATCTCTACTGAAAGTACAAAAAATTAGCTGGGCATGGTGGCAGGTGCCTGTCATCTCAGTTACTAGGGAGGCTGAGGCAGGAGAATCACTTGAGCCTGGGAGGTGGAGGTTGCAGTGAGCTGAGATCATGCCACTTGCACTCCAGCCTGGGTAACAGAGTGAGACTCTGTCTCAAAAAGAAAAAAAAGTAAAAGTCTAACTCAGCATTTCTGTCAAAAGTACATAAATTATGTGAAAATCTTAATTAGAACAATATAAGTAGTGATTTCGTCATACAGATGGCAACAATTATGGAAGAGCAAATGATTTATTAATTATAATTTTTTTTATTTTTAAATTTTTTTGTAGAGACAAAATCTCACCACGTTGCCCAGGCTGGTCTCAAACTCCTGGCCTCAAGTGATGCTCCTGCCTTGGCCTCTGAAAGTGTTGGGATTACAGACATGAGCCACTGTGCCAAGTCTTACTAATTATAAATATGTTTATTATTAATCCACATTTTGTTGTTCAACAGAACACCTAGTCTGCAATTAGAGTGAAATTCAATCATCTTTGACATTTTAGTTACAGAGACATGTTTGTCATGGTTGGAGGATGGAACATAGTAATAACAGTTTGTTGGCTTGATTGTAACCTGTAACCATTTAAACTTAGGGGATGTGGGTATCCATGTGTACTCTTACGAGGGCCTGCAAGTATCAGGGTGGGGCCTGTTGCAAGGGCCCAATTCAGATTCAAACTCTTAGAATTTGGTAAGATGCTTCCTTGAAAGAAAATGTTTCTTCATATTGATCTTCTCAAAACACAAATCTGCTTTTTCTCTCTCCTCATCTTCAACATCTTCAACTCAGAACCTTCAATGGCTTCCCACTCTACTCAGTAAAGAAGATTAAACTCTTTAATGTGACCAAGCAAAATCGAAACTCTGTACCCACAATACTGCTCATTCCTCTCTCCCTCGCTAGCCCCTGGTAACCACTATTCTTTCAGTCTCTATGAATTTGATTATTCCAGGTGCTTCATACAAATGGAATCCTACAATATTTGTTATTTTGTGACTGGCTTATTTCACTTAGCATAATGTCCTCAAGGTTCATCCTTAACATGTTGTAGTATATGTCAGAATTTCCTTCCTTAAGACTGAATAACTCTCAGGAGTTTTTTGAATACATAATGGTGATGAAGAATTCCTGCAGTCTCAACTACCTGTACCCACAACATGGGTAAATAGGGTATGTCATCCTCTCTCTACCACCCTGTGAGCTATGTGGGTTGCAATGACTCCAACCATGGTATAAACAACCACACAGCATGGCGAGCGGGAGCCTTATCCTGGCTCTCTGTTTCCCCTTCTGGGTTACCAATCCAGTCTCAACAATAGCACATGTTGGCAGTCACCATGTGCCTGGTACTCTATGCAAATTATCCCCTTTAATCCTCACCATCACATGATAAAGTATATGCTATAACTGATACAGTTCAGATCTGTGTCCCCACCCAAATATCATGCTGAATTGTAACCCCCAGTGCTGGAGACGGGACCCAGTGGGAGGTGATTGGATCATGGGGGTGGCTTCTCATGAATGGTTTAGCACCATCCCCTTGGTGTTCTTGCAAGATCTGGTTGTTTAAAAGTGTATGGCACCTCCCTGCCTCACTTTTTCATGCTCCTGCTCTGGCCACCTGATGTATCTGATCCCCGTTCCCCTTCCACCATGATTGTAAGTTTCCTGAGGCCTCCCCAGAAGCCAAGCAGATGCCAGCATCATGCTTCCTGTACAGCTTGTGGAACCCTGAGCCAATTCAACCTCTTTTCTTTATAAGTTACCCAGGCTCAAGGATTTCTTCATAGCAATGTGAGAACAGACTAATACAATTATCGTCTTCATTTTACAGATAAGAAACCTAAGATTCTGATTGGTTAAATAATCTCTGTAAGCTCACAGTCAGCAAGAGAAAGAACTGGGATTTACTCAGAATTGAACTTCAATGACAAACTCAATTATTAGAGAAGAATGTCTTGGTCTGATCTAAAGAGGACAAACTCGAAGTTCACAGTCACAACCTGAAGCTTAAACCTGAGTCAACCCACTGTCTTGCAGGCTCAGGCTGCTGGGGCATACAGGAGAACCCCCAGATGAGGGAGTGTCCTCACACACAGTCTCACTGGCCTTGCTTCAGCCTCGAGACAGGATAGGCAGGCACTGTCTTCCCATCTCAGAGACCAGAAAACTAGCAGTTAGTCAGGGGACAAGCCAAGGTTGGGTGCAGATGCAGAAGTGGGGCTGGAAGTCAGGAGCCAATGCTTTGGCCTTCAGCGTTCACCACGTACCCTAGAAAGGATTTCCTTCCCCTGCATGCCACAGAAGTCATCCCTGCCTGCTTTAAGCCCTCAATGTGCCTTGGATACCCAGAAGCAGCACATCGCCTAAATGCTTGATTACAGATCTATCTCTTACCACACCTTTCTTCTAGTAAAGGCAGGGCCCAAGAGTCACACATTTAGGTACCATGAAAAATGTGCCTGCTTTATAGAAAGCACCCAAAGAAATGGTCAATGAGGGAATGAACAAAACAAACATGAGAAGTCAGTAGGTTTCCTCCATAGGCCTTATATCATGGACAACCTCAGAAAAACAAGCTATGAATTGAAAGAGTATAAACTGTGATGAGACCATGTCCCCTGGCAGCCACCATTTCATAATGACTCTTGGCTGCATAACCCCTATATGAAAAGTGAGGACCTGTAGAAAGACCTTACACTGTCCAAGCTCTGTTCAAAGTCCCAAATTAGATTAGCCCTCTGCTCCTGCAGCATCTTGCAATCCCTGCATCTGACCGTGACACTGCCATGTCTTTTCCTATTGCACCCGGCAGAGCTGAGCTCCAATCCAGTGCTAGATTACTCCAAGCAAACATTAGTATAGCTACCTTTACATGTTGTGAAGCTGATGTCAATGCAGAGACTATGCAACTACCTCAAGACAGGCTGTGGTTTTAGACCTGAAGCCAGAAAAATCACTCAAGACACACTCAAAAATCTACACTAAGAGAATCTTTTTGCTAATGAGTCATTCACTTACGATGTTATTAATAGTTAAAGCTAACCCCACCACCAGCCCTAAACACACAAACATTATTTAAAAGCCACCGATTTTTGCTTTCAGACATGGAGTATTTCAGAAAGAAAATGTTAAAAGTGGTTTTAAGGGTTCATATAAGAGAAGATACAGATGTATTCAATAAATACTCTTATTTTAGAATATTCTTTAGTTTTAAATTGTGGTTGTTCAAAGAATGAAAAAGCCAAATGTGGGGCAAAAAAGGGCAGAGTAAAGGCAAAGAAGAGAGTCCGAAGGACACGCAGCGCCGAGGGCTAAGGTTGAGGGAGCGGACACTCACTGCACGGACGTCCTCCACTCTCATTTAAGCCTCAGCATAACCCAGCCAGTACGTTTTTGTTTTTCAGAAGGAGTCTTTTTTTTTGTTTTGAGAATGGAGTCTAGCTCTGTCGCCCAGGCCGGAGTGCAGTGGCATGATCTCAGTTCACTGCAACCTCCCCCTCCCGCGTTCAAGCAATTCTACCTCAGCGATCCACCAGCCTCACCCTCCCAAACTGCTGGGATTACAGGCATGAGCCAGAGCACCTAGCCAATTCTGACAGTGGTGACCAGGACCACAGGACCCGTTAAACTCCAACGAAGGATCTCAGTGGAGTTTACCCCCTTGTTCTAAACAGAAACTCAACACTCAGACATCAAGTGTATGACTGTTCATTTATTCATGAAAAGCAAAAGAAAAATGCAAAAGGTATGATTTTTAGAATGAAAATTACTGGTGATTGGAGGACTGGGTGACTTAGAT